TGCCACTTTTTGTATATTGCTTGGAGGAGGGGGAGGGGGTCATTTTTTATATTGCTTGGAGGAGGGGGAGGGTATCATTTTTTGTATATTGCTTGGAGGAGGGGGAGGGTGTCATGTTTTGTATATTGTTTGGAGGAGCGTCATTTTTTGTGTAGTGTTTGGGAGAGGGAGTGTGTACCACCTCCTTATTCCTTTTTAAAAAATGTATCATTGGCCAGATGTTAAAATGTCACAAGCCTTGACATTTTTTTAGGAGAGAAAAAAAAACTGTTTCATTCCTTTAGAAAGCATACGTACACTTCGAAACCCACACAAAAGAAGAAGAAGGTATTTTCAATTGTTGCAATAAGATAGTAATTGGCTAGGTATATTTTGCGATCCCCTTAAATTAAACGCTGATAAAATGTACTAAGCCATCACGCACCGCTGTTTATTACGTCAAAAGCGTGGTCTGCTAGAGGAAAAATTAGTAAACAGTTTGCCATAGCTTTCATAGATATTATTGATAGTTTGTAGATCTTTGAAGGATAGAACATAAAACATGAAGTATTTATAGCACTGTTAGACAAGAAAAAAAAAGTGCTGGTAAAGACTGCTCTACTAGTTTCTTACAGACATCGTCAAATTGAACTCTTGATAATTTTTAGTACATTCCTACACGTAGAAAAGTATCCGAAAGACTACACATATGTTCTTGTACATCTTTCCCGATCACATGTCATGACACAGACTTCAAAAGCAGCGAAGAAGGTTCAAATATCAAAATTGTCCAAATATTCAATATAGAGAGTTCAAATTCAACACAATGGAAAACGTAAGCAAATCGCAGCTAAAATGTAATCACAAGAGAGCTTAAAATGTAAACACTGAAATCAAATTCGTCTTTTACAGTTCAAATGCAGAATAGGAAAGTTCAAATTCAACAATGCGAAAACTATGAAGCTATATGATGTAACCATCGTCTCCGAGTTGGGGGGAAGCTATAACTCTGTCTCTTAAGCCCCATTAAGTAGTAGTAGTAGTAGTAGTAGTAGTAGTAGTAGTAGTAGTAGCAGTAGCAGTAGCAGCAGCAGCAGCAGCAGCAGCAGCAGCAGCAGCAGCAGCAGCAGCAGCAGCAGTAGTAGTAGTAGTAGTAGTAGTAGTAGTAGTAGTAGTAGTAGTAGTAGTAGTAGTAAGAGTTTAACGGCGCTCGCAACTGCATAAGGTCATATGAGCGCGCGAAACACAAGTTGGCCTCATTCACAACATTCACTGCAGGACTTGGCTCAGGCTCGAGTCAATTATCAGATTTAAAAATGTTAAAATTTGAGGTAAAATAACAATCTAAAAATGGTTATCTGCTTTAAAATCAAAATATGAATGTATTTACAATTTTCCATAAAGTCCGATCGCCTTTATAAAATCAAGGATTCTGTTGGGATCAACGACGGAAAACAGATCTCGCAATTTTTTGCATCAAAAATATTTCCTTGGGTCTCTCCAAAGTCTAGACATTCTGTTAAGATGCGTCTAATGGTAAAATCTGTGTCGCATCCGACTCAAAACGGCTTCTTTTCCCCCTGAAGGAGGTATTTAATGTGTCAGGGACGTGTGTCCAATACGTAGTCGAGTAAACACGACTTCGTCTCTTCTGGAGAAGCCCGAAGGTTTTCGCGGACCCAGTTTGGACTTTAAAATGTGGTGTGGTGTTTTGTTTTCTTGTTCCTTCCAATGAGTCTCCCACAGACTGGAGGTGTCGTTTTTTACTTTATTTTTAATGTCAGTCTGTGGGAGAGTGTTCGTCGTTGATCCCAACAGAAGGGACAAGGATCCTTTCACCAGGAGGTCCACTTGCTCGTTTCCTCGGATGCCCACATGGCTAGGTCGCCATGCAAACACGATACTTTTCCCGGTTTCAGCTAAAGCGTGTATTTTTTGTTGTTGTAACCTAACTATTTTTTGGGCGTAAGAGTGTGCAGTAGTTTGTAAGTGAGGTGAGACAAGAAAGAGAGTCAGAAAGGAAAAGGAAAGATTTGTTAGGAGATTTTTCTACGGAGTCCAGTGCCATGTCAATGGAAGTGGCCTCCGCAGAGAAAATGGAGGCTTCGGGATGGAGTCTCCTCTGGTGCGCACTGTTTGAGGATAGGGCAGCGGCGCCCACAGCGGAGTCCGGTGTAGAGCCATCTGTGAAGATTAGCTCCGCACGGGGCATTTTTCTGTAAGTTTTTTTTTTGTATTCTGCTTTAAAGGTTTTGGTGTTCGTGCTTGCTTTGTTGTCTGTTGTCAACTGTATGTTTAATTTTGACTTTGTGAGATACCACGGATGGAGTTCGGGGAGAAGAAATTGTCGGATGTCTTGTTTGGAAAAGTGTATGATTTTAAGGTCCTCGGATCAGGACTCTGAGGCTGAAGGGTCTGATAAGTTTTGCGGGTTTTTTTTGCAATTTGTTTATGATGTCTAGGTTTGTTCTGAAAAAACCGTCGTGTGCTGGGTTCTCTGGTATTGCACTTTGTTTAATTGCGTATTGTAGTGAGAGTTGTGTGCGTCTGAGTGTGAGTGATAGTATGTTTGCTCGGCCTGGAGGCTCTCCACTGGAGAAGTGAGGAAAGCCCCCCCCCCTCCCCCCGGCGAGGCGGAGTCCTTGGTTTTGTACTGGGTCTAGCGTTTTTAGGACGTGGGGTTTGGCCAATCCATATAGACCTGACAGACGTAGTCAAGCCTGGATCGGACAAGGGAAATGTATAGGTGGAGAAGGTGTTTTGAGTCTCCGCCCCACCCCGAATGTGTTTAACGCTTTCCGGCACATCACACGGATGTCTTTTATGTGTGGAATGAATGTGAGTTCCTTGTCAAATATAATGCTGAGGAAACGAACATGTCCTGGATGGGAATCCATTCCCCGTATAGTGTCAAATCCGGTTACAGTATACGTCTGCCTGATCGACAAAAGTGCACTGCAACCGTCTTTGACGGGGAAAACGTGAAGCCGTTATTATTTCCCCACTTATGTTTTGCAGCTGCGTTTGCAGCTGCCTTTCCATAGATCTTAGTTGAGGACTTTTTGAACGGCAGCATATCAGGAAGTTGTCAACGTATAACGAGCTAATTTGGAGGGTCTTGACGGTGGAAGCTATTTTAATTTCAAATAGGGGAGGAGAAAGGATGCTTCACTGGGGAACACCTTCCTCCTGTTGGTGGGGGTCTGAAAGGGAGGATCCAACACGAACCTGGAAGGAACGGTTCTTCGGGAAATTGCCAATGAAGGCAGGGAGGTGACCGCGTATGCCGAGTGCGTGCAGCTTTTTGAGAATGCCGTACTTCTAGGTGGTGTCGAAGGCTTTTTCTAGGTAAAAAAAAGATGGCGATCATGTGGCTTCCTTCGGCAAACGTCTCGGGTATAAAGGTCTCCAGGCGGACCAGGTAATCCAGAGTGGATCGAGTTTTCCTGAATCCACAATGGAGACCGATCTGCGAGACCGTCGTCTCCAGAAACCACTTAAGTCACCTGTGAATCATGTTTTCTATAAGTTTGCACAGACAGCTCGTTAGCACTATTGGATGGGTGTGCGTGGTCTATGTTAGGTTTGGGTATTGGAATGACAGTGGCGAGACGCCAAGACTCCGGAAAGGAGTGCGACCGCCACATGTCGTTGTATATTATGTCTAGTAGGGGTGTAAGTGTTTCTGTGGGTAAATGTCTAATGATCTGGTTGTGGAGATCATCCGGACCCGGGCCGTATTGCTCAGATCTGAGATGCACGATGTTAGTTCGCCTAATGTGAAGTCTGCGTTGTAGGTTTCAGTAGCCCCATTTACACGTACAGTTCATTGATCGACAAACTGTAGGATATCGAAAGGATGGTCGGCATCCTGTCAACTTCCCGGTGAAACTGAGCGTGGAAACTAGCAATCCTCTCGATATCAAAGAGTTCTCAGTCCAGC